GTCTTCATCAAGGGATTCGGCAAGCGTGTTCAACGAGGAGGCTTTGGACCCGCTCACGCCCGAGGACTTCGCTTGGATTCCTCTCCCTACGACGGGCAACCTTCCGGGGCCGCAAAGCGCAGCCCTATGCGCCCTCTTACACCAGTATCTTTCCTTCCATGCACCACCAACTTCGCCGACGGTAGACGAAGTCGCGGTGGGGGCCATGCTTGGCTACGTTGCCAAGGTGGCCCGCGAGTTTGTCTCGCAACGGTACGAAGAAAAAAACGCACCGTTGCTCTACGTTCGCATTCAGATTGGGCAAGCGGACTGCAACGCTTTGCTAGATTGCGGCGCAACTCGCAACTTCATCAGCCAGTCCTTCATGACTCGGGCTGGCCTTGGCGCACAAGTACGGAGGAAGTCACATCCGACGACGGTCGCTCTTGCCGACGGTAAGACGAAACAACTTTTATACCGTAACATCTCGGCTGTCCCGGTGTACTTTGCACCGCACGCATGTGAACCCGTCACTTTTGACGTGTTGGACACCGACTTCGATGTCATTTTGGGGATGCCTTGGCTTTCTAGCGCGGACCACACGGTCAATTTCCATCGACGCACGCTCACGATTCGTGATGCAACTGGCTCCGAGGTCCCGTGTACTATTCCTCCTCCTCACTCTTCCATTAGGTGCCAAGTCGTGAGTGCCAAATCTTTTCGAGACACATGCCGTTCCGAGCATGTCGAAGAGATTGGCATCGCTTTGCTTCGAACCGTTCCGACGACCGATTTATCGTCCACAGAAGTGTCTTCCGACCCCCGTGTGACCCGGTTGTTAGACGAGTTCTCGGATGTTTTTGAGACACCCTCCGGTATAGTGCCGGACCGGCCAATCTCTCACGAGATCATACTTGAGGCCGGCGCCGTCCCACTGAAAGGATGCATTTATCGCATGTCCGAGGAGGAGCTCACGGTTCTTCGTGCACAACTCGACGATCTACTCGACAAGGGTTGGATCCGCCCTAGCAGCTCACCTTACGGTGCGCCCGTTCTCTTCGTTCGGAAGAAGAACAAGGACCTTCGACTTTGCATTGACTACCGACGCCTCAACGCGCAAACCATCAAGAACGCGGGGCCTCTACCTCGCATTGACGATTTGCTTGAGCGGTTGGGCGGCGCCAAGTACATTTCCAAGTTGGACCTCAAGTCGGGCTACCATCAGATTTCCATCCGCCCGCAAGATCAGTACAAAACCGCGTTTAAGACGCGATATGGGCTTTTTGAGTGGGTAGTTATGCCTTTTGGCCTCACCAATGCCCCGGCCACCTTTCAGGCGGCCATGACCACCGAGTTTTGCGCTATGTTGGACCGCTTCGTTTTGGTCTACTTAGACGACATCCTCGTCTATAGCCGAACTCTAGAGGAGCATCTCGAGCACCTTCGGCGTGTTCTAGAAACTCTTCGATCAGCCCGGTACAAAGCTAACCGCGACAAATGCGAGTTTGTCCGGCAAGAGCTTGAATACTTGGGTCATTTTGTCTCTCCGGAAGGCATTCGTCCGTTGGCGGACAAGATTCAAGCCATCCAAGAGTGGCCCGAGCCGAAGAATGTGACGGACGTCCGATCCTTCCTCGACTTGGCCGGTTATTATCAGTGCTTCATCAAGGGTTACTCGAAGATCGCGGCCAACCTAAGCAAGTTACAAAGCGAAGAGCGGCCTTTTGACTTCAACGACAACGCGCGCCATTCTTTTGAGACACTCAAACCGGCACTCTTGTCCGCCGAGGTGTTACATATTTACGACCCGCTTCTAGCTACGCGCGTCACTACCGATGCGTCGGGCTATGGCATTGGGGCCGTCCTTGAGCAGCACGATGGCATGGACTGGCACCTGGTCGAGTACTTTAGCAAAAAAGTACCTCCCCTGCATTCGATCGACGACGCACGAAAGAAGGAGCTTCTTGCCTTCGTCCACGCCCTCAAGCGTTGGCGACATTTCCTCCTTGGTCGGAAAGCATTCCGATGGGTAACGGATAACAATCCGTTGGTATTCTACAAGTCGCAAGACACGATTAACAGTACCATTGCCCGTTGGATGGCTTTCATCGACCAGTTTGACTTTTTCCCCGATCACATTCCC